GCCCGCCCCGCCCGCCACCCTGTGAATCCCAGCAGTGCACACACCACACACAGCCTCCTGCCACCCACCCACCCAGTCCCACCCCACCCGCCACCCTGTCAATCTCAGCAGTGCACATCCCACACACAGCCTCCCGCCACCCAGGTGACCCCCACCCCCGCCCCCACCCCACCCACCACTCTGTCGATCTCGTCGGTGGTGACCCCCGGCGCCACGGCCGCCGCCGCCGCGTCCAGCACCCGCCGCCCGATGGCGCACGCTTCGCGGATGCCCGCCACATCCCGCTCAGTGCGCAACTTGACTGCGGGGTGGGTGGGTGGTGGTGATTGATTGGCTGGGCGGCACAAAGGGATGGATTGCGCGGGTGGTGGTGGTGGTGGTGGTGGCTGGGAGGGAGCGAGCGACAGAGGCGGGATGTGCGATCCAGGAGCCGGCGCTTGCCCGGGCTGGCGGGGGCAGGCATTGCTGCCGCACGCGCGGCCCAGGCCAGCCCTGGCAGCCCCCGCCGCCGCCCCCGCCCCACGCACCCGCGTGCTGCTGCCTGCTCTCCATCTCGGCTGTGGGGTAGCCCCCCAGGTAGTAGTCTGGCTTGGGGATGTGGTCCGGGATCTGGGGAGGGCATGCAGGGGCAAGGGCAGCGGTACTGCTTCAGCGCACCAGCATCGGCGGTCGCCGGCGGCCCGGCCGGGAGCCCCGCCCGAGCCAGCCAGCCGCCCAGCCGTCGACTACCCACGCGAACCAGCCAGCCGGCAAGCGGACACGCAAGCAGGCGCAGGAGCCGGGGAAGGCAGAGGGCTGGGAAGCCAGCAGGCAGCCATGCAAGGCGGGGCGGCGCTGACTTGGCGCATGGGTCCGATGCGCGCCGGGCGCAGCTCCCCCGTCCATTTAAAGTCGGGCATGTTGAGGCTGCGCCCCTGCCCCCGCCGCGTGCAGTAGTGCCAGCCCTCGGTGGCAGACGGCTGCGGGCGCCGCGGGAGGCAGAGGGAGGCAGGGCGGCGGCGTGAGCGGCAGCTGCGAGCCGGGCTGCAATGCTGGGCTTGGCGATGCCGTCAGCAGATCGTGCCTACCCTGCCACAGTTTCCACGCCCACGCTGCAGGTCACTGGCTGTTCAGCCGCCAGGCAGCAGCAGCAAGCGAGCTGCCGCGCCAGGCACGGCTCCAGGTGCCAACCGCAGGCGGCCCCCGCCTTGCCCGACCGCACCTTGTGCAGCTTCTTGTGCTCCGCCCAGGAGGCCTTGAAGCACTCCTGGGAGCAGAAGGCCGCCAGGTCCTTCTCCAGGCTCAGCTCCAGGCTGCAGGGCAGCAGCGCACAGCGGCTTCAGCAGTATTGGGGGGCGGACGGCGGCATCGGGCGGCGCCTCACCAGCGCGGGCATTGCAGCTTGGCGGGCTGCTGGCAGGTGGCGCACGACAGCTGCTCCACGCCGGAGCCCGCCTCCGCTTCCTGCACCATGCTGTTGGCTTACGATGCTCGAGCAATGAGGACAAGGGTGATGGCATACAGGTCGAGGCAACAGCTGGCCAGCCTAGGGTGGCGTTGAATGACGCACGGGGCCTAACAGACGTCGAAAAATGTCCCCCTGCTGGGCGTGCTGGCCATGTCAACGAGGGTCGAAGCAACTCCGCTTTCTGGAACCCCTGGACCCGCCCACCGCCTGTGCTCAATCCTGGTGCCGAGGTGCACGCCGGTGTGATCTTTTTTCTGCGTCGCCCCTGCCCTAGCCCTGAATTGGGCTCTGAACTGGTGATCTGTTGGCGTGGCTGGTGTGCCAAGGCTCAGTGATCACCATGCAGCATTGCCTCGCGCCTCGCAAGGCCCTGGCCGTGCGGCCCAACAGCAGGGTTTGCCGGCAGCAGCGGGCTCGCGGCGGCGCCCTGCTGGTGCGCTCCGTGCTGGACATCCCCAAGCCCACCACGGGGGACAGCAACGGCGCCGCCAGCAAGGCGGAGGTCTCGGCCCTGGAGTCGGACATTGAGCACGAGCTCAAATACCGCCTGGCGGCCGCCTCCACGGACGATCAGAAGCTCTACCAGTCGGGTGGGGCCCGAGCTGCCCAGGATGGCCGCCCCTGGGCCCGCCAGGCAGAAGTCACCAACCCCCAGGGGTGCATGCGCCGGCTGCCGCCGCTGCCGCCGCCGCCGCCAACCGCCTCCGTTGCTGCCTCCCCGCGCGCCTGCAGTGGCCTGGAGCGTGCACAACCGCCTGGTGGATGCGTTCGACAAGACCCAGCAGTACTGGAAGTGAGCAGCGCTGGCTAGGGGGGCGGAGGAGGGCCCCGCCATTCTGGCGCCACTTTCAAACTGCCGCGTGCGAGCCTTTTGGTCAGCTGCCTCGGGGAGAGGCCCTGGGGCCGCTGCAGCAGCGCAGCCTCGTCTCGCTGGCTCTTGTGCACATATCTGCCAGCCTGCGTGCATTGGGCCTTCCCGCCAGCAGCCGCCAGCTGCTCCAGGCTGGCACCGACCAGCCGCCAAACCTCCCACCCGCCGCGGCCTCTCTGCTGGCCGCTCCGCCCTCTCCCCACTTCTTTCCCACCTTGCGGCCTCCCCCTGCACCTCCCACCTCCCTCCCTTCCTTCCCTCCAAACCTCTCCGCTCCTTGCCGTCCTCCATACCTCCGCCCACGCCCCCTCGCGGCTTGCTTCCCGGGCTGTGCCCCCCGTTTGACCGGCCGGTCAACGCCCCATCCCTCTCCCCGCGCGCTTTCCTCCCCGCAGGGAGCAGGACCCCAAGCACGTCTACTACCTGTCTGCCGAATTCCTCATGGGGCGCACCCTGACCAACGCCGTGCACAACCTGGGGCTGCAGGGCGAGTAGGGAGAGGTGGGTGCTGCCCCGGCACGAAACAGGAAGGGGTGGTGTGGTGTAGTGCCTGGGGCTGCAGGGCCGAGTACGGAGAGCTGGGTCCTGCCGGGAAGGAGAAAGGGTGATGAGTGGTCCCGGCCTGGGACTGCAGGGCGAGCACAGAGAGGGGGTGGTGTGGTCAGCGGTGGTGGTGTGTGGTGCTGGGCGCTGGCCTGCGGGCGGCGGGCGAGCACAAATTGTTGGGTGCTGAGCTGTGTGCGGCGGGGAGCAGCGCGGGTGCTGTGCGGTGGACGCGTGGGCCGGTACATGTTTGCCTGGATGCCGGCAGCACAGCTGGCTGGGGAGACGCTGGCAGCGCCTCGCAGCTAGGGAGCGCGGCTCGGCGGGCGGGGCCGGCTCAGAGCTGGGGGCGGCATGGGCGGCAGGCGGTTGCGACTGCGGGGCGGGCAGCTGGGTGCCATGCTGGCCGGGCACGCCCGATCACCCCTCCCTGCATGCCCGACCGTCGGCATGCCTGGCCGGCGTGCTTCCCACGTCGCTTC